AGATCTTAGGGGTTGGTTAACACATAGGCTGTCATATGAGCCACATGTGGATCATGGTAATATTGTTCTTTAAGCCCCGTACGTCACCATGTGGTTCACAGGTTGACTTCTACTTTAGGTGCTTTTGTCACCTGTGTGTCGAATGAAATCAAGATTTTCGATCTCGAGGTCTCGTAACCCACTTGTGGATGCTGATATTTATACGTTACTAGTTCACACGCTATTCGCAGCGTATTACACTTCACACGCTATTAGTCTCGTGATTGTTAATCACATTTTACGCTACGCTCTGCAAAAATTTCAATGTAAGAAAGACTTTCTCGCGAGTGTGGTTCCATCTCTCCGTGTCTTTCAGTCTCTCTTCCCGTCACTCTCTCTCCCCGTCTCTCTCCCTCTCACTCTCTCCCTCTCCCTCTCTCTCTCTCCCTGCGTCATCCTGTCTCTCTCTGTGACTGTCTCTCCCGGGAGAAAATTCTCAACCGCAGGGGCAAAATATGCAATGAAGACGTCTTAATAATCGTACTTCAGTGCGCGGCGGGTTGCGTAGAGAGCGCCGAGGCGTCATGCGCAGGGCTCTTGAGTCTACATAAAATCATCACCAACGTGCGTCTATGTGCACAGGCATATGCAAAGTCCCATCGTTCTATGCCGTATTCTTCCCGAAAGAACAAGCAATAAGTTAAAAGAATTTATTCGCAATGGGATGAACGGACGAACCACAAACATCCATTGTTTTTATATATTAGATATATACCCGGAATTGTGGCTCAGTGCATCAACTGATATCAATGCAGTGCCTCTGCCTGGGAGGTCCTGGGTTCGAACCCCGACAGTTGTAGGATTTTCGACTCTAGATTGACAGCTAGGACAAATTCAGGCGCTGCCTGGAGAAGAATTGTAGAGGCTGGCTGCTCTGATCGGTAGTTTTCCGTGGTTTCACCGAAAAACACCAGGCGAATGCCGGAACAGTCTCCTGACAAACGGGCCACGGACCGCACGCGATCTTTCCTTCCTTGTCCTAACCTCACCCCTTACACACAGGTACACTAACATGCACTACACTACCACACATGCCGGGAGATTGGACGGGAGCTAAGAGCTTGTCCCGACTGGGGCTGTGCCCCGCTGTTGGGAGATACCTGGTTGAGGGGAAACCCCGCCAGCTGACAGGAGGTCGAAGCCGGACCTCGCCATTGAGCGGAGGATGTTCATTGCCACCGCCAGAGCAAAACGTGCACTACACTAACGGGACTATTGACCACAGTAGATGACGCGCCGGGACTCACTACCAACCAACAAACTTCATTATATTATCAAGGTGGCCTGGCAGATTACTCTGAAATAGTTGATATTTCCGAAACTGGTGTTGGGAATATTGATGTAAAGGATATTTGTTACGAGTCATTGTGTAGAAGGCCGTCGCCTCGCCCAATCAATTGTTAAGATCAAACTGTTGTCCAACCACGTGTTCAGAGTTCTAGGAAGTGGCAGTTATTGTGTGTAGTATAAAATTTAGCCCAGGTTGCCACGAGATGCCTAATTGGTTTGCCATCGGATCTGTTGAGCTAGGTCATTCTGACTTTCACGTCGCACTCCGCAGCGCTATTTGATACTCATATGCGTTGGTCTTACCCAGGTATCACGGAATGTCCTTGGACCTTCCAAATATGTCTTTTTTCTCTTTATTTTTTGTCGCATCAACGAGTAAGGTTATTAGCGGCAAATATATCTGTTTGACGTTCTTTTACAGTTTTGAAGGGGTCAATCACCTTATAACATAGGGTTGTCGGAAAAATACGGGAAAAGTTCGGTTCTGTTTTCACTGTTAATGCAATGGTTCACTAAGAGCGTCCTAGCTATTTTTATTATATTTCACTTCCTGGCCATAATTCTAACTACGGAGGAATATGTGTCTGTTGCGTCTCAACAGACCCTTAGCAGAGTTAATGTTCCTAATTGTATTTGACTGTTGAAGCTGTGAATTCCGCTGTTCTAGCTGGGAATCGAACAGGAATCTCCAGGTATACCTCCAATTCCTCGCCCGGACCACCCGCTCTGCGCCCAGTGGTGAAATGTAGAATGCAACTGGAGGTAGACCGGAAGGTCTGAGCTGGCCGAGGAAGTCGATTCTTTAATGTGACTGATATCGGTTGCATTCCTAATATTCTTGTTATGATTAGTAGTGTGAGGCCTGAATTGGAGTAGCGTTTCAGTGATATAAATCAAGTGATTTATATCATTAACACATAATTCCAAAAAATCAACGATTTAAACCTAAATATAATTTCTTGTAAATTTAACAAAGAATGATTAAAAATTTAAGAAGAAGAATATGTTTAAAAAAATCAAAGTTCATGACAACCAAAGTGCTCGTTTAAAGTGCAAAAGAGAATGGTGTATTCGCATCATTTTCGAATGATGAAAAAGATGATGTGATTTAATAATATAATAATTATACATATCTTCAAATTGCTATTGAGTACAACCCGATGGCAGCTAATTACATAATATATCTAACATGCAAATTGTACAGTAATAATAGTGCATTAACAACCATAGTAACAACTATAACACTAACATTAATGGAATAATAATAATAATAATAATAATAATAATAATAATAATAATATTATGCTGATTATATAATATTGACTGATTCATATAAGATTAAATTACTTTAAGAAAAAGGAACGTCTATAATCTATCTCCGCTCTGAATGTTTGTTGAATTAAGACCACACTGAACTGGCACTGCATTGCATTACACTGCTCTTCTCTTCTCTTCTCTTCTCTTCTCTTCTCTTCTCTTCTCTTCTCTTCTCTTCTCTTCTCTTCTCTTCCCTCCCCTCCCCTCCCCTCCCCTATGACCCTTGAATCACTCCCTTGATTATTTCTCTACTCTACACTACATGACACTTTAACAATAAGCAATTTCCTTAGTGTTTGTCGTACTCTTTTTTAAGGTGCGCATTACAAAGTGAAGAGATCTCCTGGCTTTCTCTACAACAAAATCTACGTGACTTTTCCAGCTTAATTTACTATCGAAATGGATTCCTAGGTATTTGCATGAGGTAACTCTCGGAATAATGTCTTTATTTAAACGGTAATTTGTTTCTCTGTATTTATGACACCTGCCAAAAGTGTTGGATTTGCTTTTGATGTTATTTATGGTCTTTCCATTATTTTCCGCCCAAAAATGTAATTATCAAGATCCCGTTGTAACATTTCTTCGTCTTCTTTCGAATTCACTCTGCGATATATTATGCAATCGTCTGCAAACGTAGGCGAACATTTGAGAATAGCAGGTAATTGACGAACGTAAGAAATCATATCAACTGAATAATTAAAGTACTCAAAATGCATTTATTTGGAACAGAACCTATGTTTGTGAAACAAGAACAATTGTTGCAAACCCCTAAAAATTTAATGAGATATTAATATTTTTCTCAATATTTGCGTAAAAGTTGTCTTAACATGTACAAAAAGTATTCCAGGATGGTTTTACTGATCCATGGTTTCTGTGTTATTTTATGACCGTTTTAGTGAGATCCTTAATATGTCAGAACTATGTCAATGTGAGGTAGCCTTATTGTTCTACTGAGCTCTTAATTTTTTTTCTGTTTTAAACTATCTAAAAAAATACCCAATGGTAATATTTAAATGTAAATCGGGTTTAAAACATGAATTTAATAAAACTTGTTTTAAATAATAAAAGGTCAAAATAAAAACATGATTTAAATAAAAAAAGATTAAAATAACATGATTTAAAAAAACATTATTCAAATTTTTAAAAAAAACATTATTTAAATTAAAAAACGACGTAAAGAAATCGATTTAAATAAAAATCTGATTTCAATAAAAATCCGATTTAGATTTAAAAAATCCCCTTTAAGTTTAAGAAATCCCATTTAACTTTAAGAAATGCCATTTAAATTTCAAGAAATGCCATTTAAATTTTAAAAAGTCTATTTTGTGTTTAAATGCGTGCGGTGGCGGGCGGGTGTTGCAGAGCCAGGCGATGCGCATCGTGCGCACGGTGGGCCAGGCGTTCGAGGTGTGCCACAAGCTGAGCGCGGGCGCGCCGGGGGCGGCAGGCTCCCCGGGCGACGGCGACGGCGACGGCGACCGCGACGGTGACGGCGACGAGGACAGCTCGGTGCGCGGCCCGCTCGACGGCGGCGACGGCGACGGCGACGGCGACGACGACCCGGCGGCCACCGAGCGCGGCTCCGACCGCGCCCGGAAAGGTCAGCGCGCACGTCCCGGCCCTTCTCTCTCGCTTCCTCCTTTCAATACGGCGGTATTCACTCCATTCCATTATTTCCACAATTTGATAGATTTCGATGTTTTCCCTGTCTACGGGATATTTCATAACTCTGCAAATCGGAATTTCGGATCTTTAGCAAATTAGGACGAATCTTCAGACTTTTTTTTTCGCATTAACTACTACGTCATTAGCGCCCACTATTACTTTTAACGGTATGGTAACTGTGAGGATGACACGATATGATTATGATTGGGGGTGAAAGGACGAACACAATACAACCATGCCCGAGGCGGGACTCCAACCCGCGATCCTTCGGGTCGAGATCGCTACGGCATTTCTGTCTTAGCGATCCCGGCCATCCGGACCAGCTTCAGATATTATTGTGATTCGTAAAATGAGAGTTTCTTATTGCGCGAAAGGTTTCTTATCTCTTGAAATAAAATACTATTGCTCTAGCTTTTAATACACTGACGCTTATCGTATTAAAAGTCTTGCTGAAGGAAGTGGAACTATTTATTGCTTCCTTTGAATGGCTTCAAATAAGGATCGCGTAAATCATTAATAGCACTAAACATCACTAAGCTTCTGTGTATACTGAAAGATAGGCATCTTCAAGCACCAGTAAACATTTAGTTTTCCATTAGACCTCGTGAGTGTCGTAGCATTGGTGCTGTTTCTGTACCCTGCTTCTGTGAGCCAAAGATTAAGTCAAAGTCTGTTGATCCTGTCTTCAGAATATATTTGTACATGTTTGCCCCAATTTAACAATTCTCCTTTTGACTGAATGGCAAAGGATTGGTGATAGGTGATTGTCAGATTGTTTTCGATTATTTAATTAATTAATGCAGCTGGAAATAAACTGATATTAAAGGAGTGTTTCGATTGCTGGAATAGTTTATATCACTTTATTGTATTTGACGTTACGCCATCCACCTCTTATTTTATTCTTGGAATTTTCTCTCGGGAGATTCTAAATAAGGTGCCGTATGTATATATTCTTTCAATGAATAATTCAATATGTTTCAGTTGTATTATAACAAATCCGTCCTGTAAAATGTGATAACTAAGGAAGTTTTCATGTTTTATATTTAAATTCTATTTTATATTCAGTGAGGTAAAATACCTCACTGAATATTTTTAATATCAGGACATGACTCGTCAAATTATGTAATAGTTGAAGTATTTCTGTACATCAATTTCATTCATTTTAATTATTCCAATTCTTCTATTCTCATTGCCCACTGAGGGAATAGAATATCTACGGTGCATATACTTTTTATTGATTTTCCTGGCTCACGTCCTGGATGTCTGAAATGTTAGTATAGGGGTATTCCAGGTGTGATCGTGAGTTAATCTAGAAACGGACCATGCGAAGGCACGCCTGCCGTGGTCTACACCAGGGCTGTCCAACTGGCGGCCCGCGGAAGGGTTTTAGTCGAAAGTAAAAGCTCCTTTCCTCCACGAAAACATACTTTGCCTAGCGCTTGCACTCTGCCTGGGTCAACACCTCCATTAATGTACAAATAGGTCAATTTTTGATTTAACATTTATCTTCTTGTCAATTCAGAAATTCAAAATTATCTTAATGTGTTTCACATGCGTTATCATAGCCTGATAAAAAGCATAGTTTCATTACCCCCACCCCGTTTCGGAGCTGCCGGCTAAACTACCGAAATCAACAACACGGGGAAGTTAGGCATGGATTGCCCGAGCAATGACAATATGGCCCTCAACCATATTAAAGGTTTCAGTTGTGGCCCTTGAGATCTTACAAATTGCCACCCCTGATCAACACCAAAAACAAACTCGCCACTTAGTCTTGAACACATACTCTTCTTCCCTTTAAAGGATTTCGTTCCCCATTTCAGCAATCAAGGCTGACCTTTCGGTGTGTCTGTGTCATGCAGATTTTATTGGCGCCTGTTTTGGTAAAAGGTCAGTGGAATGCAATCAAGGCAAGACGTCCACGAGCTCTGGTAGAAAATACTGATCCACCCGATAGGTATTCCGTACCATAGGGCTAAATAAAAAACAATATTGACATACTCTGCTCATTATTCTCCATTCGAAATATCTACAATTATTAATACACTAAAGCACAATTATTTATTGAAATTAAAAAGTTGGGCTAATCTATATACACAGGAAACAAGGAAGTTCGAACTAACCTTCTCCGATCATTCTAAACTAAGTTTGCTTATATTAGCGGCCAAGAAAATATCGCTTACGAAGATTCTTTGAAGATGAGGAATATATACTAACAAACTCTTCCCTCACATCTCTGGTAATTCGAATTGATTGGTATCTCACTTTGAGAATAGTGCCGCAATTTCGCCTCCCGCGATTATCGTTGCCAGCAGAACATAAGAGAACAACCACGGGCTCGAAAACCATGACATCAGGAAGTGGACCGTCTTTGTTACTTCCCCGCTGCCGTTTACTCAGAAGGGAAAAAGTTACGTAATGCTGCGCAAAAAAGGAGACATTTTGGGAAGGGGGAAATACAGGGCTTTGGTAACGAAAGTGTGAATAAATCCAGTTTCTAACTTAAAAATCCTATAACGTAGTGTAGCCAGAATCCATGTTTTGTGGGTCCTTGATACCGAAAAATCGAATGACGGCAAAACGTATGTCTGCCTGTCCGTCTCTGTGCCTGTCTGGCCGTCTGTCTGTCTGGCCGTCTGTCTGTCTGGCCGTCTGTCTGTCTGGCCGTCTGTCTGT